TAGATACTGGTTCTTCTTCTATTGCTTTAATCGTTACTGGTAGTTCTTCTATTGTTTCAGGTAATTCTTTTTGCATAATAGATACTGGCACTTCTTCTATTGTTTTAATCGTTACTGGTATGTCTTCTGTTGTTGCAGGTAGTTCTTGTTGTTCGTTAGATGTTGGTACTTCTTCTGTTGTTTTAATCGAAACTGGTATTTCCTCTGTTGTTACAGTTGTTGTGGGAGCTTGTGGAAGATTAATACTATCTTCTAATTTAATAGTTTCCGTTATAGATGGTTCATTTTCTTGACTAGATGTTGGTACTTCTTCCGATTCTTTAATTGGTTCTTTTATTTTTTCATCTGCATGAACAATTGCTGCAGATGGATTAATCAGACTTTCAAGTTCTTCAGTAACTCTTGCTAATTTTGACATAGGCATATTAATATATCGTAATGGTGAAGCACTTCGATCACGTAAACGATTATTTGATGGACTTAATGCTCGACTCGGACTTGCATTACGACTAGGAGATGGTGACTGAGATCGTTTTCTCCCTAAAAAATATTATTTTTCCTGTACTATGATTATATAAAAAAATCGAATTGCTTACTTAAAACTGCAAGAAATCCAGTAGTAACTGATGACCCATATTGATTTGTTGCTACACATCGATATGCACCTTCATCATCTGGTACAATATGTCTTATAGTTAATAAGCAAATGCCTGTTTTCGGATTTTCATCAATTGAATATTTTTCATTATTTGATTCAATTTGTTTATCATTAAAAAACCATGATATTGAATAAGGTTCATCTTCATTAGTATTATCAACATCCTGTACTGTACATGTAAATGTAACAGTCTCGTTCTCAAATGCATCTTGTGAAGTAAGACGACGAACAATTTCAGGAGCCGCTAGAAAATCGTTTATATTCATATTTAATTAATTTATTAAATATAAGAATAAAAAGAAAAAGAGAATTTTAAAATGAATTTAATACAAGAATTCTCTTTTTCCATGTAAAATAATAATAATTATAATAATAGTAATAATAAGAGTAATAATAAGGTTTGGATATGAATAATTATAATACTAGCTGGTATTGATAGATAACGATAGGGAACGAGACTGTTTGTCGTCTTGTCGCGGAAAATAACTGACGACAAAAATCCATGCGGTTTTATATGTTTTCTTTCTCATATGCTATATTTGTACGGAGTTAGTGACGATAGTACTAGTTTATGTTATGGTATGCATACTCATTCATTTAGTCCCATCGTTTCCGCTGACGTTATGACAGAGTTGACGAAGAATGTTCTATTTATTTCTTGTTTGAGACACAAAAAAAGAAGGCGACGAGAAAAGGAATGATATGTATATGAGCGAATATTGATGGTTTCCCTCCAGGAAAAAAGATGTAAAGATATATGATAGAAACAGAAAATCCACTACTACGTATACGTTGATATCGTCTTTTCTTTTCTCCAAACGAATAACAACTCGACTGTTTTCTTCTTATGAGATACCAAGCATAAATAAATCATTGAGAGAGTAATGATTTGTATACTGCCATGGTAGACTGACTGATCAAGATTTTATATTCATGTAAGTTTATATTTAGGATTATTTTCGATGTAGAAAATTATTATTATCCAATGAGAAAATTAAAAGTATTAGAATTTTTTTCATAGTGAAAAACAGTTTCATAGAAATTCTTACAAAATTTGTTTATAAGAAAAACTAGTTTTATAATTATAGCAAATGGAGATAAAAGCATCATCGTAAGGTCAAGTCTGTATTTATGTATTCTGAGATTTTCTCAACAAAAATGTCATTGATCAATGAAATTTTATCTGGGGACTATTTCCCTAATAGATTTGACGCGACTTTTGATAGAAAAGAAAATACGTTCTTCTTCTAAGTGTTTTATATATATATAAATCTAATAAATATTAATTTTAATTTATTTTCTTTTTATAGAATATCTTCGTTTCAGATCTATGTCTAGAGAATGTTTTAAATGCTACAATCAGATATTCGCCATTGTATTTTTTCAATCTAACCATAGTAATCTTTCTAAATACATATAAATTACTCATGCCATGAAAAATTAGCTACATCAATAGATAATTACGATTTACCGAATTTCTATACGCATTTATTCGTGATTTAAAAATCAGTCGATTTACGATATGGAGTCGGTTGTATAGCATAGTTTATGTAATACTTCTATCTACCTAATTAAGATTACAAGTTTTTATGGATCAAATACGATTCTTTTACATAATATTTTTGTTTGTACAGTCACGATCATTATAGAAAACTGCAGACATTCAGAAAATAACATTGATTGTAGCGACATAAATGGCAACTATGTTGCTTGCATAAAATAAAGACAAATAGGATCTGTTTTAATTCGAGGCAATCTAAAAACTTTTAGAAACTTGTGTACTTTCTCAGCATAATTTTATTTTCATATAAATAAATTAACAGAGTAATTTGTAAAGTTGTCGTATAACTAATCTAACTAGTATTATACCAATAGAAAGGAAAAGTTTACCTATTAAATACAGATTTAAATAAGAAATCCTCACTCTCCTTTATTAATTACGACATATATATGTATCATTAATATATCTAATGTTTATTGGTAGTCATCAATTTCTCGTTTTCTTAACTGTTGCCTATCGTTTAACAAATATCGCTATTAAAAAAATACAACTATTCACTGCAATTGTTAAGTTAAACAAAATCAGTATTCTTAAATAGAATTTCAATCGATGGTAATATAAATACAGTACAACCATTAATGAAATTAATGAAAGGAAACTGATCCTATTCTAAATGATAGTCACAATAAATAATGTTCATTATTTGGAATCATATCTTGATGATTATATCAACAAATAACATGTACATATAAACAATACAATCTTATTAATAACTTTTACATAACAGCTGTCATCAACGAATGTTTGATCAGCATCAGAACATTTCAAAATCTATTTTACAATATGCAAATAAACAATCAATACATAATATTATGCACTAGAACAGTACAAAAATAACTACTTCCTTTCTAATTCTTAATATCAGAAATAACCTTTGTTAGCTTCTAATAGAATATTTCGTACATATCCAAGAACAACTCGTCGCCAAAAATATCAATTATTCATATCTACAATATCAATCATCTAAATTTACTCTCTCAACCTTCGATTAACAAATGTAAGAATCAGTTGTCTCTCTAATATTTTTATACCAGGTAGGATCACGTTTCAATATATAAAGAAAAAAAAGAAACACTACTTGACAAGCGATTAAACAAGAATAAAAGTATTTCGTATATATTTATTTAATATGAATAATCTTGTTCTTATATATAAAGTTATATAAAACGATAAAAATATTATAGAAAGTTCTATACAGTAAAAACAATGTTGACAAGCAAACTTCTGATAATATTTCTTCTTATTCTAATGCCATCAATAATCTATACTCGTGGTACAAGTTCTATTTATAGTTCTCCAAGTAGTAGAAGAAAAACAAACAAACAAATAAATATTTTTTTAATGATAATTATTTTTAAATCTTTTTAGATATGGATAGAATATGTGATAGAATAATTCAACTTAATGGGGATACATTACCGGGTACGTTTTTTAGTTTGTCATCTGGGAATTACGCACAAAATTCTGACTGTTTATTAACAATCAAAGGAGCGACGATCAATCAACGAATAATTATTGTAGTTGATAAAATGGATATTGATTGTAGTGGTGATAAATTATTGATTTATGATGGAAAAAAAGATCAACAATTGTTATTAAATAAAAATGAAGCATCACAATGTGGTACAAAAAAATCATATTATAGAGTAAATTAATCTTTGTCTTTATTTTGTATAATAATTTTTCTTATTTTTAGACAATACAATCAAATACGGCAGTTATTGAATTTATTTCGAATAGCGATGAAAAAACTGGATATGGTTTTATTATTAATGTAGCAATTAATTTTCGTATGTTATCTATTTATATAATTAGAATATGTTTGTAATTTATTTTTTTCTTAGCTGTTAAAACATGTTCACAACTTGATAATCTTTATCGATGTAGAAATTATTATTGTATATCAAATATATTTAATTGTGATGATCGAAATTGGTGTGGAGATGATAGTCAACGATATTTATGTCGTTAAATTTTTATATTAAAAAACAAAGAAAATATAGATTCCTATTCAATATACATGCATATATATATTATTGTACTTTTTTATTTTAATATGAATATTTTTAGAAGAAAATAAGTTTAACTTACGAGTATCATCGTCAAATAATAATTGTAATTTTTTACGTGTAAGATTATTATCATCAGCCATTATTTATCAATAGATATTATTGGCGTTTGCTTCGTTCAGATAGAATATTGAATCAAGACAATGATCTCATTAGATATTATATTGTTACGTATTCTTTCTATTGGATATACATATGAGAGAGATTCTTTCATTTCCGTAACATTATCATCGTCGTATCTTCAAGTGTTGTAATACTAGTGGCAGTAGAAGTGGGAGAAGACAGAACAATGTTTCACTGACAATCGTGTGGGAACGGGGGCGGACGAACAACAACAGAGAATGTTTTTGTACGCTACCGAACACGCGATAAACTAGCTCTGTAGACGTATGTAGCCATTGAGTTGAAGATATTTCTCGGATCGCATGTATTGTACTATTTTTCTTCTTCTTCCTCTCTTATGTTTATACCGTTTCCTTTTTTTTTCCTCATACAGATATATGCGAGTGTTACTATCTTTTCCAAGCAAATACATTTATATATATATATATATATGCCAGTGGCGATAGCAACAACACAATGACCATAGAAAATCATATTCTTTTTTTTTTTCTCTTTATAAGTAGCAGAAGATAAATCAAGTAGTTCACATATAATTACACACATGGAAAAAATGTGAAGAAATTAAAACAATCCATCCTATATTATTGAATTAAGATTCACCCTAAAATAAAAGAATATTTTACTATTTATTAATTTCGAAGATATATTAAAAAATTATACCATGGCTATTTTCCGTTTAAGTTCCATCATACGTAGAAGATCTCGCCAATATTTTAATTGTTTTGTTCCATCAATTTGAACATCTTTTGTTTGTTTTTGTCGTTCTCGATTATTTTTAACACGTACTTCACAATCATTTATTTGTTTATTAAGTTGTTCTCTACAAATTATAAAGAATAAAAAAATAAATAATTAATTCTAATCATATTAAACCTATTTGATTTTGTAGCTTTATCTTTTGACATATATGAACTTTGTTCATCATTAGCTCGTTTTAATTGCACTGCGTTAATTAACATTTGTGCTCTCAATGTATGAAAACGAGATTCTTGAGCATATTGCTCTTCATAAAATCCACGAACTTCCTATATAATAACAAAACGAAACAATATATATTCAAATATAAAACTATATATAAACGAACTGATTCAAGTGTTGATCGACTGGTTTCAAAATTAGCATTAAGTGCATCGTATCTACTTTTTTTTGCTTCATATTCATTTCGTAATTCCTAAAAAATATGTATAGAGAAAAAGAAATAAATTTTATGAAAGAAATGAAATCTTACTTGTATTTTAGCTCGTAAGGGTTTAACTTCTTTAAGAATTGGATCAAGTTCAGCTTTTTTTGAAGATATTCGATTATTTAATGTTTTAATTAAACCTGTTATTTCATCTAATGTTTTGCCTTTTAATTCATCTTGTTCCATTTTCATTGTAGATAATTCTTCAAGACGTTCTTGCGTTGAAAAATAACCTTCAATACCTTGTTTACGTTCTTCCATACCCTAAAATACGTTTCATTTAAATTCATCAAATTAAATCATATTCTATTACCATTCGACCTTTGATTTGTTCAACTTGTTCCTTAAGAAGTTCTTCTGTCCGTTTCAATAATTGTAATTCAGCTGTCATATCATTAATTTCTTGACGTTTTCGTTTATACGAATTACTTTTATGTCGTAATACATTAACATAACGTTGAAACTAAACAATAGAGATTAAAAAATAGAAGGAAACAAATTCCTATTCAATAATACTTCTTCTCCTTGTGGTATTTGTCCACTCGATTTTGCTGTTGAAGACGCACCAGTTTTACCCATTGGTAGATTTTGACCAAATTGTTTCTCAAGTGCATCATTTTCTGCACGTAATTGAGTTAAACGTTCAGCAGCTTGTTCTTTTCT